CTTTATTCAAGATTATTTTACACTTCCATTCCTGTCAACAAGATATATATATATATAATGGGATATCAACAAGATATATATATATAATGGGATATCAACAAGATATATATATAATGGGATATATATATATATGAAATGGAATATGTATATATGAAATGGAATGTATATGAAGGAATATATAATATATAAAAAACATAATTTATATACAGGAATATATATAATAGAATATACATATATAAAGGAATATATAATGGGATATACATATATAATGGAATATATATAATAGAATATATGTAAAATGAAATATATATATATAAAAATATATAAAATGGGATATATATAATGGAACATATAATGGGTGTGCGTGCGCACGTGTGTGTTTATATTTATTTACTTTTGATTGGCTGGAAAGTGATGCTTGAGTATCTTGAATGCATTTCTGCATCTTCTTTGACCAGCATGAATTAAGGTGAACAGTGATTTGACTAAATAGAATATCCAGCCTCTCCATCTTGGAGCTGATACTTTCCTCTTAGTGAACAGTATTTACTTTCAGTTAATAAAATGCTGAATGGAAATTTCAACCTCATCATCCTGTTGTTCTTACCAGAACACTCATTTTAAATAGGATTTTTAGTGCAAGTAAAAAGTAGACATTTAGAACTAAGTTTTTATTTTAAAAAATACATTGCTATAATCAAGGATGCGTTAGGACAGAATATTAAATGATCCAGGAAGTATTAAAAGAAGATGGAAAGAATATACTGAGTCACTGTATCAAAAGGAATTGGAAGACACAGAAGAATTTAATTAAACAACATATGAGCAAGAGCCTGTGGTGATTAAGGAAGAAGTTCAGGCTGCTTTGAAGGAAATGGCAAAAAATAAGGCCCCAGGAATAGATGGTATACCAGTTGACATATTTCAGCTAACAGATGCTGCCCTGGACGTGCTCACCAAGTTGTGCCAAGAAATCTGGAGAACAACCACTTGGCCAACTGACTGGAAGAGATCTATATTTGTTCCCATTCCAAAGAAGGGTGATCCAGCAGAGTGTGGAAACTATAGAACAATATCATTGATTTCACATGCAAGCAAGATTCTTCTGAATATTATCCAAAAACCACTGGAGCAGCACATCAGCAGAAAACTGCCAGGAGTTGAGGCTGGGTTTAGAAGGTTTTGTGATACTAGTGATATTGTAGCTAATGTTAGATGGATCTTAGCTGAAAGCAGGGAATACCAGAGGAATGTCTATCTGTGTTTCATTGATTATGCAAAGGTGTTTGACTGTGTGGATCACAACAAACTGTGGCTGACTCTGAGAAGAATGGGAATCCCAGAACACTTGATCGTGCTAATGTGAAACCTCTACTTGGACCAAGAGGCAGTCGGCAGAACAGATCAAGGAAACACTGCATGGTTCAAAATCGGGAAGGGCGTATGCCAGGAATGTGTCCTGTCTCCAAACCTTTTCAACCTGTATGCAGAACAGATTATCCAGGAGGCTGGGCTCTAGGAGGAGAAATGTGGTGTCAGGATTGGTGGAAGATGTATCAACAATCCGCGATATGCAGATGACACAACCCTGTTTGCTGAAATTGAGGAGGATCTGAAGCACTTGCTGCAGAGTGTCAAGGACTGCAGCTTTCAATATGGATTGAGGCTTAATATTAAGAGGACAAAGATTCTCACCACTGGACCAATTGGCAGCATCAGGATGGATGGTGAAGATACTGAGATTGTTCACAGCGTTAGTTTGCTTGGCTGCACAGTCAACATTCATTTGGCACGAGCAGCCAGGAAATTAAAAGACATATTGCGATGGGAAAGTCTGCTGTTAGGGACCTCTCCAAGGTACTGAAGAGCAATGGTGTCTCTCTGGTGACTAAGGTGCATCTGATACAGGCCATGGTCTTTGCTATCACTTGTTAAGCATCAGAGAGCTGGACGCTGCTTTTGAGCTGTGGTTCTGGAGTAGAGTATTGAGTGTTCCGTGGACTGCTAAGAAAACAAACAGATTCATCCTGGAGAGGGTTAAATCAGGCTGCTCCTTGGAGGCAAGGATTCTGAAGCTTTGTCAGATATACTTTGGGCATGTTGTAAGGAGGGACTGGTTCTTGGAGAGGGACATCATGCTTGGTAGGGTGGAGGGACAGCACAGGAGGGGAAGACCCTCTATGAGGTAGATTGATTCGGTGACTGGGGTAATCGGAATGGGTGTGTCAGAGACAGTGTGACTGGCACAGGACAGAGCAGAGTTCAGGGCGGTTGTATGTAGTGTCACTATCAGTCACAAGTGACTCGATGGCACATAACAACAACGACAACATTAAAAGACCATTTTTACTGCTCTTCCTCCAAGAACCAAACCAGAGTCCTCTATGTATCTTGGTGCTTGCACATCAGTGAACAAGCCTGAGCAAATCTTGCGGGTCAGTCTATTTTGACTTATGCAATGCCCTCACAGAATTTGAAATAAATTCTATGAATTACCAGTGAAAACCCAGTGTTTAGCTACAGGGGCTAGGTTAGTTAATACCTTCACTTCTTGTCACGTCCTGACACTGCTGATGCCAATTGCATTTATTATTGAGCTTGAATTTCTATTTTAAAGTAGAGTTAAGAAGGAAGTGAAGTTTATCTCCCCCATTATTCTCTCTAGGTTCCTACCTCTAAAGTAGATAAGAAAATTGTATGAAGGAGGAATGTGTGTATGTATGTATTTTATGTAATGTATGTATGTATTCTATGTGTGTATGTATTTTGTGTAATGTATGTATGTGTGTATGTATGTATTAAAGGAGAAACAGTGTCTTTGTAGAATTACTATTTGTTACCTGTTTAAACCCAGCGGACATTTGAGTTTACAACCGTTGTTCTAGATAAATGGAAGCAGTAAGTGCATGGGGAATTGTAATACATTGGGTATCTGTTTGTGGAGGTCTTTGCTGCGATGGAATGTTTAAGGGAGTAAGGCTCAGGTTAGGAAATAGACTCGGGATCTTCAGAGAGGCCAGCTAAGGAATTTATTCCTTCCTTAGAATCTAGAATAAAGTTAGGAAAAAACATTTTGTTGTTGTTGTGTGTAGTATTCGGGATCAAGCCGTAGCAGACCCTCTGTGGGTTTTCAGCGGCTATTCATCACATGGGAGGAGAGACTATTTTTCAAACATTGTTACTCATCGACTTTTCAGGAATAGTAAAATCCCTACAATTTTAGTAAACAGCATTTCTTTAATAGCCACTTACGCCTCAGTGTCATTTTTAATATGAAAATATTTATTGAGTATGAGGCATTAGTTATCAATTATATGATAAGTGGCCTAACTTTGTCCTAGTCAGCCTTCAGACGTCAGCTGAAATGCACATCTTCAGAGCAGCCTCCTTGATGTCTGTACTCGTTTGCTTTTCTGTGGTGCACTCATCACGCATTTAGCATCAAACCTGGAAGCTGGTGGGAACGTCTGTTTGGTGAACATGTGCGTGCTGAGTGGGCAGAACATGTTCAACACTGATCCCTACAAAATAAGCTTGGATATTGTGGCAGAGGGAGTGGTCAGCAGGGCTTGTTTGAGGTTTGGAAGAAGTTGAAGATAGAATAAATTTTAGAAAAAGCTGAGAGAAGTGTGGATGGAGGCTTGAGCGCTGCCCTTTACAGACTGGGAGAAGAGGAATCTAAAAGCAGTGAAGAAAATGGAAATCAGGTCTTTCGGATTCAGTGTGTCAGAAGTGGAAAGGGCTCAGCATCCATTGTTGTTATGAACGGTCGCGTTGGAACCAGGCCGTAGCTGGCCCTCCAGTGGGGTTCCAGAGTCAATTGCTTGGGAAAAGATTGCCCATCCTTCTCCCATGGAGCAGCTAGTGGATTTGAACTGCTTGCCTTTGGATTCTTACCACTAAGCCAGTAGGCTTCCCTGAATATCCACTAGGACTGCAAAATACAGCTTCTCATGGTATCTTTTCTAACATATTTATTTTTTATTTAATATCTTATTGGACTTATTTGAAAAATTAACTTGATTTAATGTTAATCTGCATACATTTGAGTTAAGAAATATTTGTAATTTTACATACTTGAGGAGTTATAAAAACATAAAACTAACATTTGCTTTAGTTAAAGGCAGCACAGTTGATTGTGAGGCCAAATCCATAGTGTGTGATGTCGGAAAGGAGGTGGGAATGACTGGTCTGTCAGTGGTCAGCCTTCTTCTTTCTTCTCTGAAGCTGCTCTTTGCCTGTGAGTGGTCATACTAACGCTAATGAAAAAGTACCTGCTAATGCGGACCTAATACATCCAATCAATTCAGAAAGAAATTGTTTTAAAAAGTTTAAGAGGCTTATAATATTTGACACGTGTATGTTTTTATAGTGAATAATTTATTGTTACTCAGAACTGAAGTTTAATGCTGCCTCATAAATTTTACAACCACTTCAACTTGTCCTTTGAAAAACCTCTTTAATCTTAAAAGATTTTTCCCCCTTAGTGCTTCTTTTTTGATCACTTTATAAAATCCTGCTTTACTTAGACCTTTTTGTATGTGAAGTATTTCTAATGGCATTTTAGATTATG